GCAGATTATGCCTAACTAGGCAGGGAACATGACTGGTGTTCCATGCCTAATTAGCCTGAACATGTTGTAGCTACAGGTGATTCCTGGCCTAATGAATGCAATACCATACCATCGCAATGACTCATGACACATGACACAAAAAAACTAACTGCTACTTTTAAAGGTGCTACCAGGGTTCGAACCTGGGTTTCGGGAAGATAATCAACTTCACTTCAAAATCCCGAGTGATGACCACTACACTATAGTACCTTATAAAGCACGACCACTCAATAACCTAGATCCACCTTTGAAGATTCATAACAGAATGTTCGAGGCTTTGCAAAACGATAACATAACAATGAACCCTGAGGTTTATCGGAGAGTTTCCGCAAATACAATAGCAGCAATAAAATCTGTTCAGGGTAACCTACTGATTCCAATAGTTCTGGCTTGCTAAGTCTAGCGCCCGCGACATCGGCCAATTCTTCAAAGCTTCAACCCTTATTGTATGTCTATAGCATCGATAGTTTAGCAGAAAGCACTCCATCGTCAGAGTCCTTGTGAGACAGATCGACCGTGATCATGATACTCAATGGAAGCCTAAGCATGAAAAATCTGTAATTAGAATTTTCGCCATCAAAGGAATGCCTTACGCCTTCCACGAGCCTCTGTTTCGTTCAAATTCTTCAACTGTGCCACCATTTAGCGGAACTCAGACTTCCATGAGAGTTTTGTACTCATCTCCGAGGGACAAATCAAAAGTCATCAATTCACAACTACGACACCATCTGCAACTTTTCGTTGCAGGGCAAGACATGGTCAAGAAATTCATTACACCCTTGTTTTCAATGTGGCTCCTTGATCCGTCGTCAAAACCCCGAGTCATAATTGGCATACCCAGCTCTGGCGTAGACTTATTTTCGTCGTTTGATTCTGGGAAGCATCGATTCAAAGATCACATTGATCCCTCCATCTTAAACCAAGGAGTGAGAAATCCGTCAAATCCGAATCACCCAATACACTAAGCCTTCTCTCACCCTCTGCCGAGACAGAAATGCATTTCATACGCGACCAGACAAGTCTTGACGTTCTCTAGTCCAAATCCGGCTGTTCGTCACGAATAAATAAATAAATGTCATATTCTTCAGTCTGTTTCGCCATAGTCCTGAGCATATATCTGGATTCCAGGAAGAGAACAAGGGACGTTGCGCCAAGACATAGGTTAACTTGTCCGTGTTCTTTATCATCGGAGAGATGCAAGGGAAGGACAAAAGGTACCCTGGATGGCGTCCGCACGACTTTGTAAAACGTTACTATCAAGATATATATTGAACGGCCGGGGTGAAAGATTGACGCCTAGGTCCAGAAATCGACACATTCAACAACAACATTATGCCTCCGTATGAGTTTCATAGCAGGGTCGTGCACGAGGCTTTCGATCAGGTTATGTATATACCCAAGCGCCCCGTATCTCGGATCGATGCCACGACACTTCGAAATTACTAGAATCGCTTTCAGCATTACCATCGACAACGAAGCAGATGATTCCATTCATGGAATATATATTGGACACCATCGAGATGTCTCAGATAGCCGGACTTCGCCTCAAGGTTATAGATGTCGCGTTGAATGGAAGAACGAAGTAAAGGTAGATCTTGTGGACGACAACAT